GACTACCTAAAACATTTACATCGTCACATGGACACAGACACAGGCATGCACCAAAACCAACACAACAACCAACACAACAACCAACAGTTCAAAACACTGCACCACAACCAACAGTTCAAAACCCTGCACAACAACCACCTCCACAACCAGCACAGCAACCAACAGTTCAAAACCCTGCACAACAACAACTACAAACAGAGCAAGGACATAAAAGAAGTAGAGAACAAGGAAACCAAGATTTCTTAAAAATGCTTAAAGAAGACTATGGTTACCCAGATACTCTTGACTTTAGTGACAGATATAAAGAAGCTATTAGAAAGTTCAAGGAAGGAAATACTGACCCGAACCTATTTAGCTTTATGGTTCAGCACCAAATGGGATATAATTTCAAACCTGGAAAATACAAGCTCGCTAAGGGATATGATTTAATAGCATATCATCCAAATGACATGAACGAATTTACTCCGAGATATTTGGTGTCAGAGATAAATGATGATTCAACTATCTTCATGAAACGCGTAAAAAATAGAGACGGAACGAAAGAACAAAGGCTTATGAATGCGGATGACTTAAATAGGGAACTTGTTAAAAACGGTCTCGGAATATATGAAATGCCAGCAGATGAGGTACAAGAAACTCCACAGGAAGAAGTTCAGATACAACCAGACATGGAAGAAATAGTTCAGCAACAACAGCTAGAAGAGCCTGAAGGAAACGAACAAGTCCCTCCTTTGGAAACTAACTTCACAGAACTAGATGAAGATTTGGAACAGCCGAAAAATCTTGACCCTCAACAAGAGTATGAGGTGAATATGGAATCTTTCCAAGAGTCTAAGAAAAATTCGGCTGACATGGTAGAAGAATATCGAAAAATGTTTGCCGACATACAAAAGACTCCAACATCAGATGAAAATATTCAGCATAGAATGGAAGAACTGAAAGAAAATGTACACAAATACAACAACCCTTTTTACTTACGAGCATATAACGTTCAATCTTTGGATGAACTCGGTGAAAATAAAAGGTTAAATTTCAACAAAACATATAGAAATGAAACATTGTTTAAAGTTCATTCAGAACCTAGCCAATATGGAAACAAACCTACTTTTGTTTCTGCAGACTATGGAACTACAATGAGATGGGGTCATAAAGCTAACCCGGATAGGTGGTTCATAAACTTACAACCACAATTCCAAGAAGTTGTAGACGCAATGGAAGTCAATGGTGAACCAGATTTAGCTGGTATTTTCAGCGCGGCTTTAATGCCATTGAAAGATATGAAAGATGCAGATATTTTGGACCAGTATGAAATGAACATGGCTGAAGGAAATATAACACCTGACGTTCTAGAACATTTATCTCAAAGAACTACACAGAACCATAGAGATGGTATATTTGGTGAAGAGTTTAGAAAGAAAGTTAGGGAGACAGAAGGAAGAGAACCTATTGTACATGACCTTGCAAACGAAAGTTTACAAAATGTCATAAAAACTTACTTTGCAGACGATGAAATGAGAAGGGATGAATATTTAAGAAAACTCAAATGGACAGTACCAAATGAAATGTTAGTATTGAAAAACATGTTCCTTGACAAAATAAAACCAACTACAGAAATAAATGACGCAAGACTGAAACATTGGGTAAAAGCTTTTCCATTCACAAAAGATATTGTTGGTAACATGGAAAGAAAACCAGAATGGCTACAAAAACATATATTTGGAAACGAGCTTATTCCATATGGACAAGCTCTGTTTGAAGAGCTTGAACCGGAAACTCAGGAAAGAGTCATGCAAACAATACGCGAAGACTCAAATACAAACTATGACAAAATCTTTCTAGGATATAGGTTACCTGAGATGGGCGACCAGAGCCCAAAGGCAAAAAGGACATGGGAAATTTACAACATACTAGGTGAACATGAGGCAAAGATGCAACAACTTGAAGCAGAGGGCAAGTTACCAAAAGCGACACCAAAGAAGAAGAGAAGAGTAGAACAAAGTGAAAGTAGTGAAGAACAAAGTGAAAGTAGTGGCAATGAAGGAAAAAGAAGAGTTAAAAACTCAGTCAGGAAGAAAGTAAAGCTTGGTCCACGTGGGTTCTATTATGACACATAAATCCAACTATTCTATATTTTTACCCATATGAAATGTACGCCGCTCAGAATATAACGCCAACAGTTTTGGATGCCATGAACGGAAATGTTTCCGAATGGTATAACGAATGCGACAATGCCATTAGAAGGTCAGAAATAGTTCCTGGAACTTACGAATATACAACTGCTGTTTCTTATGGAAATGTAGGTGAGTTTGGAGAAGGTTCTTCAACAACAGTAGATATTGCTTGCGACAGGTTTCATATAATTTCTATTGACAACTCATTCTTATACGTGGAACAAGACATTGAAATAAAACCTTCTGCCAAGTTGTCTGACAAGAAAGGTTGCAATGGAATTTTCTATGTCGGATACCAATATGCTCCAGAAGTTTTCATGGGATATAAGATATATTCTAACTCTGACTTAGTTCAAACAGTAACATGGGCAAACTATGAATGGTTCGCTTTGAGAAACTCAGTACAACCACAAGCTAGAGAACAAACAGACCAGTATGCAACTATTGAGAAAATAAGAAGACTTGACCCTAACGTTCCAGGAGTTTATGTTAACCTTTCTGGACAAACTGCAGCAGCAGTAACCAAAGTAAAACTGAAACTTAGAGTTCCTTTGTCATCTTTCCTCATCTTCAGGTTTTTAAGATACTTGCCAAACTGGGCAGGAAAAATTTCTATCGAACTTACTCCAAGCAAAAATAACTTAGTCATTGCACCAACACAAGACCCATTCACTATTACAGACGTAGAGGGAACAAATAAAACGTCATTCGCCGAATTTTGCAAAGACAAAGTTGACTTAGACTTTGGTTTCTCAAACCTCAACACTGAAGTAAACTATTATTTCAATGCTGCTGGAACTGCTTGGGACCCAGTTAGGTTTACATGCGAAAAATTTGAATGCAAGAGAATAGAAAGCAGACTTGCAGTCTATATGTTGGACCCAGATATTTCAAATGCTTTAGCTGCCAAATATATTGCAGTTCCACTTATGTTCCCTATACACCAAATATCTGTCAAAGACTTTGCAGGTGAAGTTGGAAACCAAAGTGCTGACCCAGGTGCAAGAACAGATATTGCTTTAACAACTGCAATGAAACATGCAGATACTATGTTTGTACTGTTCAGACGAACTATAAATGACTATTCTTGTTTCTACAACCCTGGTATTAAATATCATATAAACATAGATGGCAAATATTATCCAAGAGAAGAATATTCTACAGTTGAGGATATGAGGTCATACAACTTGACATTAGATGCTATGAACTTTAACAACAACTTCACAACAACCATTAACCCTGAAATGCAAAGTTCTATTATGCCATATGTGAAAGTATGGACCCATACAGGAAGTCAAAAAAACTCAATATACAAATGGAGACCGTTCAAACTTTTGGCTTGGCATTCCATTTGCTGACTCAGAAGACTTTATGGGTGGTATTTCAACTGTTGGTACTGTACAAATACAATATACTGGTGACAGAGACGGTCCATATGAACTGAGAGCAAAGAAGTTTACAAAACCAATAGCACTTTTCACGGAAGATGCTCTTTTGAAGATTCGTTCGATGAAACCTGCTGGAGCTCCTCAGATTGGCATAACGACAGCTTCCATCGAGCAGATTTTGGCAGCAGGTCAGTAAGTTGTTCTTGAACTGACTTCTCTCCGTCAAATATTGACAGTACGCCAGTTTTGACATAATATTGTATTATAAACTTACCTTTAGAAATATCTGTAAGTTTTGTTGTTATATTTTTGTCTGCTTCAAGAACTTTCACCATTTCAGTTATACCAACTTTCTTTGCTTTATGAAAATATTTTGGTTCAGCAAAGACTGCTATTCTATAACATTTACCATTGTTTGTATAAAGAACTATTCTGTCAATGTATTTGTATTGTTTGTGTGTGTAAACTTTGTTCTGCTTCAATTCGAAGAGATATCCGAATACGTCCATCTTTTTATTCTAAGTAAAATGTCATTTCCGAAAAAATAGAAGCGTAAGTGTTTCAAAAGGTTTAATGGCGATGGCAGATGTGAAGTTAAATTCACCAACTCAAACAAACAGTCAAAGTGTTATTGTCAATGTCAAAGAAAGAGATGTTGAAGTGGGGAAACCATACGAAGACGAAGATGGTATAACAATAGTTCCTGTAAAAGAACAACCAACATACCCTGAAGTTAGCAGAGACTTAAGTTCTGTTGCAGATATTCGAAACGACTACCAACAACTGAAAGACAAACTTCAAACTCAGGAGAAGATTTGTCAAGCTTTAGGTATAATGTTAAACTTGGTCGAACACAACCCTGTAAAAGTGAACTCATATGTCATTGCACCTCATGAAGTTTTGAAAGAACTATTGAAACTTTTGACAGAGGCAGACGATATAAACATCAAAGAAATAGAACCCGACGTTAGTTGCTGTGGTGTTTCATATAATGTCATTGACAAGATATACGTTATGAAAGGAGGTGAAACGTTGAACTTAAAATATAGTTTCCCAGACGTTATAAAAATATTTGACGACCACAACATTTCATTAAAATTTATTTGCTAAGTAAATGCAGAAGACACAATGGTTTATACTATTACGACTAAAAACCCTGAGTCATATAATTCTATAACAACAAACTTACAAAGTCCTCAAGGACGATATTGTAAACTAACCTTAAACACAATGACGACTAAAGCCTGTTTTGCTCTTTTTGACACCAGAAGATTTTATTGTTGTGAATGGTAAAAAATACTCCTTTGAAGATACTTACTCAGATATACCACCAACAGGTTTTGTTGACTTATTTAATACTTTAAGTACGGGTGTAACATGTGCTGCAACTAGAGCAGGTTTCATTATGTTTGGATGTCCGACTGAGTTTACTATAAACAATATGAGCTATAATACAAAACTTATATCTGGTTTTTACTACCAACAGTTTCCTATAACAGGAAAAGGTGTCATACAAGGAATGTCTGTTCCATTGACTTTAAGTACACCTATTTTATATATTGTTTCAAACTTAGGTTCAAAGTGCTATTCGAATGTCGACAGAAACTACTATGACCAAAAGATACTCATGCGTATAAACAACACTTTCTCTGCTGGTTTGCCTATTGTTCATTCGAATGCAGAATTTTCAACCTTAGTGAACTCAAACACTTTGGCAAGTATAACGTTGACATTAGTTGACGCAAACTTTGTTCCTGTAAAACTTTTATGTCCTATGTATTTGTCAATGACGGCAGAAAGTTTCGAATTGGAAGATGCAACTGGTGAAAGTATTGTATTACAAGAACAACTTCAACAACAAATAGCTCAAGAACAACAAATAGCTCAAGAACAACAAATGCAACAACAAAGTCAAGAATAAAAAAAATATTTTTTTTATTTTTATAAAAATGTACAGAATAGATGTTTCAGATTTTTATGACTTCCAAACATTCAGAAATATGTGTCCATTTCGAGACTATAACAAAGCAGTCGAGAATTTGAAACGTTTAGTCATTTATGTCGACTCTGCCCCAGAATGTTATGTTATGAAAGAATGGGATGTAGTCTTTAACAAACCTAAAGCGACAATAGTTTCAGAACAAGAATGTAAACAGAAACTTAAGAAAATAAAAGTCGTACAAGTTGGTATGAAGATGTTAGATGCTTGGGATATCTTATTGTCAAACTTGAAGATTTTTCAGTTCGTGTATAAAGTTCTATACACCATCTCCAAACTTTATTCTATCTTCACTGGATATAAATACGAACAAGTAGAATGGAAAGAAAATGTTATAGAAGCTTGGTTAGACCATGTCAAAGAAATTATATGCAATGGAAACGAAAGAGTCTATGAGTATATCTTATGTTGGTTTGCAAACATCTTACAACATCCAAGTGCTAAGAATGAAACTGCTCTCATTATAATTGGAAAACAGGAACAGGTAAGAACACGTTCTTTACAGATATTTTGTGCAAACTGTTAGAGGTTATTCGAACCCGAATATGACAAACTTAGAAAAACATCTGCGGTAAATTTAACTCTTCTATTGAGAATATGAAACTTATAGTTTGCAATGAACTTCAAAGTATAGATACAACAAAAGTTTTGAACTCAGATGCTTTGAAGAGTCTTATACAGACAAAGTTGGAGTTGTTGAAAGAAAATATAAAGACCAAAGAGTTTGTGAAAATGTTGCAAACTTCGTTATGGTTTCAAACAATGCTGTTCCGATGAAGTTAGAAAAGTTCGACAGAAGATATGTAGTTGTCAGAACGTCAGAAGCTCATATGCAAGATACAGAATATTTTGACGACTTAGCAGAAACTTTGACATCTGACTTTTACAACCACTTGTTCTCATATTTTATGACATTAGATATTTCAAAGTTCAATCCAAGACAAATTCCACTACCGAAGAGAGACAAACATTGTTAGAAGCAAACAAAGAGTGTATATGAACTGTTCATAGATGAAACTGACTTTTGTGTCATTAGATGAAAGGTCATTGTACGATTCGTATAAACAATATTTGTCAAGAATATGGTTATATGGCAGCGTCTAAACGTACATTCTTGGCAAATGTCAAAAGTCTTTTAGACGTACAGAATGGTGTATATACAAAGAAAAATTTTTCTGAGTAAATTTTAAAAAAAAATATTTTTTTATCCGATAGAAAAAGATGACGAAATTCATCTCAGTAAACAAGTACATGTCAGGACTTAAAGAAGAACTAGACCCATTCACATATTTGAATGTTTACTTCTACCATTTTGAAAAGTCTTCATTCAGCAAAGTTTTGGAACATCGAACCAGTTAAGTTTGCTATTGTGACTAAAATGGTGCGAAATTTGAAGACTTAGACATAGAAGGTTTGTTAGCAGTCAAAGAAAGTTTTGAACAGAAGGTTCTCAAAACTCGAAGAAGGTAAAGCATACAAACTTGTTATACCTTATGAACCAAAGAAAGCAGACGACTATGAATATTATGAGTCTAAAGTTGTAGAAGTTCAAGGTAAATTGGGTAAAAAGATTTTAGAGTCTAAGCCAGTGTTTGCTCCTAAAGAGGAAGAGAACATTGACATTGACCCAGAAATGTTCTAAAAATAAAATTTTTTTTTACATGTCAAATTTCTTTTTCTCTGGAACTGGTTCAGGTTCTTTCTTCTCTTCTTCTACTTTCTTTTCTTTCTTTTCTCTCTTCTTCTTTTCTGGTGGAGTTATGTCAAACTTCTCAGAACCATATTTTTGTAAAAGTTCTTTGTCCTTTAATAGCTCTTCTATTCTGTTTTCTATTTCATCTTCAAGAACAGTGCATGTGTCTTCTTTGCATTCTAAGAAGTTTTGTTGGACTTCATCTCTCCAAGAGGCGTCATCTCTGTCAACAAGTCTGTCATTGACAAATTTTAAGACTTCTCTGCTTAATGTTTTATGGTTCTTGTCATATTCCCAGAAACAGAACTTTAGAACAAATTCACCTTTCTTGTTTACACTATGTAAGATTTTATGGTCGACAGATGTTTTGCTGTCGAAAAGCTTGTCTCGAATATAGATGGCGAAATCGCTAGACATTTTCTAAAAGATAAAAATTTTAATTTTTCTAAAAATATGTTAGAAAAAAAGTTTGCTGACATTGACAAGAAATTTGAGAATGTTTTAAACAAGAACAAGAGGAAGTTAGAAAATGCTCAGATAAAGCCTATACATGACAAGTTCTTATTTGCTCAGAATGGTATAACAGGTCTAATTGCACCACCTGGGTCGGGTAAGACTTTCACTTATCTTAAAATGGCTGCACAACAACAAGAACTAGATGAGAAGAACCCATTCTATGAGTTAGTAGTCATTTGTAGTACTTCTGGTCAATTTGACCAAACCGTCAATTCGTTCAAAGATATTATAAAGAAGTCTAAGTTAGTATGTATAAAAGACTCTGAGTTGTTAGATTGGATAAAGAAGTACCAAAGAAGAGTTTTGAAGTACAATGCTATAAATGAGTATATAAATTCGAAGTTTAAAGACCCAAATGAGGAAATGCAGAGAATATTAGAGAAGAAACACTTCAGAAACAAACAGAAAGAGATAGAATACATTTCGAAGAAATTGCAATCTTACGATTGGAAGACTTACCCTCATAGATGTCTTCTTATCTTAGATGATTTCGCCTCTCATCCTTTGTTAAAGAACAGAGAACAAGACATGTGTCGAATTCTTAAGAAGCTCAGACACTTTAACATCTCTGTTGTCATTTGTGTACAGACAGCAAAGAGTTTAAGTAAGGATGTAAAGAGAATACTTACTGACATTGTACTTTTCCCCGGATTGTCCGAAGACGATTTCATGGAACTTATGAAAGAGTCCATGGCAGGTAAGTTTGACAGACATGAACTATGGGAGAAGTACAAAGTCATACAAGACCCTCATACTTCTTTCAGAATTCACATCTACGCAAACAAAGTTCAAATTGTAAAAAGTCAAGCTTGAAAAATGTAAGTGTTTAGTCTTAGTAAGTCTGTTGTGGTGCTGGGGCTGTCGGTTCTTCTGGCTTTGGAATGGACTCGGTTGGTGGTACGTCGGACATTCGTTTGTGTCCTGTCGGAAGGAAGAACTTTTCCTGTTGGAAGGAAGGACTCGGAATGTCGGAAGGAAGAACTTTTCCAGTTGTCGGGAAATTTTTTTCCTGTCTGAAGGAAAAATTTTTTCTGTCGTTCGACCAAAAAGTTCTCAATTTTCGAAAATTTGAATGGTTTACGGACGGACAACAGGAAAATTTTTTCCAGTTGTCGGGAATTTTTTTTCCAGTTGTCGGGAAATTTTTTTCCAGTTGGAAGGAAGAACTTGGAATGTTGGAAGGAAGGACTTGGAATGTCTGAAGGAAGGACTTGGAATGTCTGAAGGAAGGACTCGGAATGTCGGAAGGAAGAACTTGGAATGCCAGAAGGATTTGACAAGACAATTGACCTTATAGAGCTACCTGAGCCATCTGAAGTCAAGCGTAAAAATAAATGGTTCATCTACTCTACTTGTTTGAAGTTGTCAAAATACTCTGTTATTTTTTCTTTCAGTAGCGGCAAATCTTCTTTGAAGGTAAGTATTGTACAACCTTTAATATCATAGTGTGTTTGAGGTAACGTATCTTGAACTATTTGTTTCACATCTTCATTCGGTGTCATTGAAATCGGTAAGTTTTCGCGATAGAACCAATTTCTGTCAGATTTGTAAATCTTAGCAAGGTCGTAAAAGCTTTTGTTGTTTCTTCTGACTAAATGCAACATAACCATATCTCTGTCTTCTTCTTTCTCCATCTCTTCAGTATAAATCATATACTTATAGTTCTTTTCCTTTCCTTTTGGTACCGAACGTGGTATTCTTTTCTGAAGGCTTTTGTCTTTGGATTCAAGCTTGTTCTCTAGCTCTTCACGTTCTTGTCTATGAATTTCATCTAACATCATGAAAATATACCAAGCATAACGAGGTGAAGCCCACATTGCAACAGCATTTACAAGAAGTCTATGTACATACCAACCTCTCAAACCATTTGGCAAATTTTTACGATTTTCATAGAGTTTTGGCGACCCCGGAAAAAGTCGGGGTCGCTGTGCTTCGCTCAAAAGTTCTTTTGTCTGTTGGTTTTTGAACCAATCGTCTGTATGTTTGGTATCTGGAGCAAAACATGCTGTCAAAATACTTTGCATTTGGTACATATCGTCTTTGACCGAACGAATGAGACGTAACTGTTTGTTAAACTGAACCCACTCATATTCTTCATTTATATCTTCATGAACGATAGCAGTTGTTGTGTTCTCTGATGTTGACATATCTGTCCTTATATTCCGGATAAAAAATATTTTTTTAAAAAAACTAACGTTATTTTCTGACTTTCACAAAAGACCAAAAATAAACGCTTTACATGTATTTTTCAGCAACTTCGTCAAATAATTTTATAGCTTTACCTATCTCATCTACTTCAAACGTTTCTTTACCTTTCGTGGGAGCACCATACATTTTCTCAAACTTTTCAAGTAGTTCTGTTTCTGCAGCTCTCATATCGTTAACGAACACAACCTTAACTCTATTGACTATACTGTCATATCTTTGAGTTATATTATATGTTCTTCCTATCTTATATCTTTTTGTATTGAAGTCCTTCGGTTTCTGAACGATGTAAAGTAAGCCCTCACTGCAACGTTCAGTATCGAATGAACCATATGTTATGAAGTTATATCCAACAACTGGGTCAATCCATAACAAAACTATTGGTATAAGACTTTTGTCTATAAGATATGCTCTTGTTCCATGAAATGCTACTGATATCATAAGCTCAGGATTTCTTGTCAAAATTTTCTGACTAGAAGCAATTCTAACCCAGTCGATTGCTCTCTTTCCAGATGGAGATAAAATGTCTGACAAAGAATATTTCTTGTATTTCTTTGAGTATCTTACGTTTAAATCACCAATTCTAACCACTTTGGTGTCATTGTCTATCTTTCTAACTGTTTCAAACTCAGTGTTTGTCATTTTCTGTTTCTTACATACAAAATAAAAAAAATATTTTATAAAAAACTAACTTTATTTTTTCTATCTTGTATCTTAAGGAAATTCACGATTTTCATGTATAAAAGATATGATTTCAGGGATTTTTTTGACGAAGTGTTAAAGTTCTCTTCGTAAAAAAATAACAGTTATATAATGAAATTTGGTCATTTTTTCACGATTTTCATGAGTTTTAGGCGAGTGGGTTTTTTTTACTACTCGCAATTTTTTACGATTTTCATGTATAAAAGATATGATTTTAGGGATTTTTTTGACGAAGTGTTAAAGTTCTCTTCGTAAAAAAATAACAGTTATATAATGAAATTTGGTCATTTTTTCACGATTTTAGGGTAGATGGTTTTTAGGTGTCACCAGGTCCCTCGGTCCCTCGGTCCCTCGGTCAACTAACATCTTTTTGAAAATGGTGACAACATGACATTTTGACAACAGTCCAGGAAATAAACTTCTTCGTACATGTTTTGTCAAGACTTCATCGTCAATGTTTTGTCAAGACTTCTTCATCGTAATGAGCGTAAATCAGACAAAAATATATTTTAGGTGAAGAGGTGAGATCTCACCTCCTTTTTCACCTCTTTTCTCACCTCTTGAATTTTGTATAAAAGATATGATTTCAGGGATTTTTTTTACGAAGTGCAAAAGTTCTCTTCGTAAAAAAATAACAGTTATATAATGAAATTTAGTCATTTTACTCAGCAAAAATATATTTTAGGTGAAGAGGTGCGATCTCACCTGTTTTCTCACCTGTTTTTTCACCTCTTTTTTCACAAGCGTTTTACATGAATTGTACGATGTATATTTGAAATTCTAAACAATTTTGTAGCTTCTATTTCCTCTGTCAGTATGTCAAAAGTTTTCACAATATTGAATGTATCTTTATATTTCTTCTTGACATCTGAAAGAAGGAAATCGTCAGCAGTTGGATAGTTTTTGTTTAGAAATGTCAACATGTCCATTTTATCTTCTGCTGGCTTTTCTACTTCTTTCTTTAAGTCTGCATAGTCGTTTCTCATTCTTTCTATCTCTTTGACGGAGTAGTTATATTTCCTCATTGCTGCTTTACATTTAGAACATTGTGGGTTCATTTTAGCATTGTACATTGAAATAAAACCAGCTAAAACAACTATAGCGTCAATTGCTCTCTTCATCTCAAACATAGCGGGTTTTATTTGTTCATTCCATATTTTACATCTTTTATCTTTATCTCTTATCTGCCATACACATTCAGCAACTAACGAAACAAAGTTGTCGTAGGTCTTAAACTCCTCCGATTTATATATGTCAGAAACATTCTTATATACCATATCGCAATCTTTGTCCATGACTTTGTGGTTGCAATGAAATCCAAGAAACTCATAGTTTACCTTACGAATGAACTTCTTTATTTCTACTGAGTCAGTTGCTTTGACTTCTATTTCGTCAAATTCAGGAATAGTGAGCTTTTGTTGTTGTATTTCAGGAAGTTTAGGTAGATGGTCAATAATATCCTGCATGTCGTAAAGATATTCTTCATTTGTTTCATCTTTTGCAGTGCAATCTAAATCTCCTTGGAGAAGTTCCTGCTTTATCTTCTGGATTTCTGTTTCGAAAGTATATGAAGAAGGAATGAAGCTTTTCATCTCTACTAACATTGAAGTTGGGTTCATGACTAACGAGTTTGGTGCTGTTGTTGCTAACATGTTCTTACAATAAGAATAAAAAATATTTTTTTAAAAAAACTAACTTTATTTTTTATGTTTTTTGTGAAAGTGTCAAAATTCATGAAATTTCAAGAGTTTTCTACGATGTTAGAAAAAATGGTAGAAAAAATGTTAGAAAACGTGTTAGATCTAACATGCTAACATAAAATATATTTTTTGGTGGTACGTCGGACATTGTTCTGAAACAGTACAAATATTGTTCTGAAACAGTACAAATATTGTTCTGAAACAGTACAAATATTGTTCTGAAACAGTACAAATATTGTTCTGAAACAGTACAAATATTGTTCTGAAACAGTACAAATATTGTTCTGAAACAGTACAAATATTGTTCTGAATCAGAACAAATATTGTTCTGAAACAGAACAAATATTGTTCTGAAACAGAAAATTTTTCTCACAAATTGAGAGCTTTGACGGAAATATTGTTCTGAATCAGAACAAATATTGTTCTGAAACAGTACAAATATTGTTCTGAAACAGTACAAATATTGTTCTGAAACAGTACAAATATTGTTCTGAAACAGTACAAGACTAGTTCTGAAACAGAACAATGGACAACATCGAGCCATTCATGAAATTTCAAGAGTTTTCTACGATGTTAGAAAAAATGTTAGAAAACGTGTTAGATCTAACATGCTAACATAAACTTTATTTTTCAATACTTTTTCTATCTTAAGGAAATTCATGAAATTTCAAGAGGGTAGAAAACGTGTTAGAAAACAGGTTAGATCTAACCTTCTACCCTAAAATATATTTTGGTGTAAATTTCATGAGTTTTCTACGATGTTAGAAATGAGGTTAGAAATGAGGTTAGAAATGAGGTTAGATCTAACATGCTAACATAAAATATATTTTTGGTGTAAATTTCATGAGTTTTCTACGATGTTAGAAAACAGGTTAGAAAACAGGTGAGATCTCACCTCTTCACCTAAATTATATTTTTGTCTGATTTACGCTCATTACGAAGAAGTTTTGACAAAACATGTACGAAGAAGTCATGAAAATTCAACGGGTGAGAAAAGAGGTGAGAAAAGAGGTGAGATCTCACCTCTTCACCTAAAATATATTTTTGCCGAATTCAGAACAAAACTCAAGAATTTTGGTTGAAAAAACAGGTGGAGCCAAAAGTGGCTCGACCTCAAAACAAGCATTTTGTGAAGAATATAGCAACCGCCGGAATTCTGGCGGTTGGTTTTTATACAAAATTCAACAGGTGAGAAAACAGGTGAGAAAACAGGTTAGATCTAACCTTCTACCCTAAAATATATTTTTGGTGAAAAATGACCAAATTTCATGAAAATTCAAGAGGTGAGAAAAGAGGTGAGAAAACAGGTGAGATCTCACCTCTTCACCTAAATTATATTTTTGGTTCATTTACACTCGTTACGATGAAGAAGTCTTGACATTTTCCTGGACTGTTGTCAAAATGTCATGTTGTCACCATTTTCAAAAAGATGTTAGTTGACCGAGGGACCGAGGGACCCCCTCAGTAAACATCTCATTTTAACTCACTTTTTTCTATCTTAAGGAATTTCATGAAAATTCAACGGGTGAAAAAACAGGTGAGAAAAGAGGTGAGATCTCACCACTTCACCTAAAATATATTTTTCAATACTTTTTCAGCACTTTTCCGTAGTTATATATGAAAGACAATTCGAGATAAAAGTCATAGTACAATGGTATTATATGTTGCACACCATTTGTTGTGAACCAAACTTGAAAGTCAGAGAAACTGTTACTAGGTGGTTCGTAGAATTTAGAAGCAAAGTCATAAACGTCCTTACCAATACATAGAAAACTATTGTTGCTTGAACTGAAACTTGCATGGCACATAACATTTTGAGGGTCAAACACGTTTCTATAAACTGTCAAATCTGCTGGTGGATGTATAAATTTAAATGGACCATCTGGTGGTAATGGTTCGTTCTGGTTTAGTAACCGAAGAAATTGTGCCCAAGAACGTTTGTCTACTTTCCAAAATAAAAACTCTGTATCTCTTGGAGGGTTAATTTCAATCTTTTGAAATGAAACGGTGGAGTTCATCTTGTCATATTCTAGTTTCAGATAGTATGTTCCATTTAGTAAAGAGTCGTATTTTTCTTGAAATTCCCAATAGTATTTGTTCATTTGAGTTTGAAAGTCATTTAGAGTTTTCTCAAGACTTTCGTCTGAACGAACTGTAAAGATCCTCATTTCATCAAATTTGTCTATTAGACCATCAGAACCTTTATACTGCCCATGAAAATATACTGCGAACATAAACGCGTTAGTTCTATTTGAAAACAAAACTCTTCTAAATCCTATTGCCTTTGCATCTGAAGGACTTTGAAGCCAACGAATTGGATAGTCAAACCTGTAAGCTCGGGATGAAATTTCTTCATCTGAAATAGTCATACCAGCATTTGTAAAGATATAGTCTAATGGTTTTGTATCTGCTACTTTTGTTCTTTGTTTTTCAACCTGAAGCATTTAATATATGTAAAAATATATGGTTTAAAATGGTATGCCATATAGCTTCTTGAATTTGTTAAGAAGTATTTGAACGCATTTTCCATCTGTATCTCTAGTGTTTACATAAGCATAGCCCGCCTTAGTAAAATATACTTGTAATTTCCTATAGTTTACGCCGGTATAAAAGTAGAAAGAGTCTTGTTCTTCGCTATAGTAGTAAAACTCAAACGTATGCTCGCCATAGTCTGTAATTTCAATTGTTTCATCTTCTAGTTCGTCGACAAATTCGAATACAATATCTCCAATTTTGCTTTTGTTCTTATTGTTTTCAGAACGAGTGACCCAACGTAAGTTTTCAAGTCTATTGTCGTTTCTTATACGGTTTATATGGTCTACAAAAGGTAAATTGTTAGGATTCAGTATAAAATGAGTTGCAATGACAACATGTTTAAAATAGCGTTTCCCACCCATCTTCATAATAGCATATCCGTTATTTTGCTCCCATTCGCTTAAAACTCTTTTTGTCTTTTTGTTTCTGACTTCAAATGACTCACAACAGTGAATTTCATATTTCTCATCTAACAAACAAGTTTCCCAACGGTCTTCTCCAACAAACTCAGCGTACATTTCAAATAAAATAAAAAAATATTTTTTTAAAAATATATGGTTTAAAAATGGTATGCCATTTCATATTTCTCATCTAACAAACAAGTTTCCCAACGGTCTTCTCCAACAAACTCAGCGTACATTTCAAATAAAATAAAAAAATATTTTTTTCTTTACTTTACATAACTGCCTGAAGCCATAAGTCTTTGACGCCAACCCATACCAGCTAATGAAGGTTGACTTGGTTTAGTTTCCAAACTAAACTTTGGTTTTGGTTTATCTTCAGTTTTTGGTTTCTCTTCTTCTATCGGTTTTTCGTCACTTTTCGGTTCCTCTGACTTTACCTCACTTGCAGGAATAGTTGTGTCGTCAACATCTTCATAAATATCATATGCCATTTGTTTTTGTTTTCCTTTCAACTTTTTGTGTTTGTTGTAAAGTTTAGAATATTTCGACTCTAAGTCAATGAGATGTTCTATAATGAACTGTTGGTCAGTGAAGTAAACTTTTCCATCTGTTGTCTCGAAAGCTCCTTCAGACTTCAATATTTTATTTGTGAGAGTCTGTTTCTTTTTTGAGATACTTGCCGTTCCATTTTTATGAAAAGTGACTTTGTAGTTAGGGTTTGTATTTCCAGACCTGGCACTTTCTATTATTGAATTTTTCTCTTCATCTGTAAGTTCTTTGACAGGTTTTGACAATGGTTCTGAACTTTTTGTTTGTGGTGTCAAATCTACCGTTTCAACTTCTTCGGTCATTTCATCTCAGTAAAAAATTTTAGTTTGGTTTGTTTTCAACTGGTTGTTGTTGTTTTTTAAGTCGGTCTAAAACTTCCTGAGGTATAGGAAGAACTTGACAAACACGTTGTGTAACTGCTGGAAGCCGACAAATCCATCTTGAACCCATTTGTCTCAATGCTGTATTGTTCATTTCATCTCAATAAAAAACTTTACATTCCCCACGTTTGAGGCGGTTGAGGTTGGTTATTGTTTACCCACTGTTGTGCATGGTTATATCCTCTGTTAAAGAATCTTTCACCTTGGTCCATATAGTGTCCTGCTTGGTTATAGTAGTCATTTGCTTTGTTATAATAGTTTCCTGCTTGTCTTCCTACATTGTCCATCCATCCTTGAACTTTTCCTCTTGTTTCAGGATTTGGAATAAGATTTGTTGCATCTCGTGCTACATCCCAACCTTTCTGTACAGTTTGTATAATAGGTTGTGCTTTCTCTTTCAGTATACCTAATGTACTCAAAATCTTCCTTCCAACTCCAAATACACCTCTGGCTATTGTTCCCACTGCGGGTAAAAATCTGGATGCAACTCCTGCTAACGCGCCAAATAAACCCATTTCTTATAGGAAAAAATGACGAATCCAAACAAGGACCCCTATGTTTC